GAGTCCCACATACAGCAACTAGAGGGATGTGCAGCTATGACATACAACTATCTACTGGGGCTTTGGGGGGAAAAAAAAATAAAAAAAATCTTTAAAAAAAAAAAAAAAGAAGTGGTGAGAGTAGACATCCTTATCTTGTTTATTTGAGATCTTTCTCGTTTCTTAATGTAGGTGTTTATCACTATGAACTTGACTCTTAGAACTACTTTTGTTACATCCAATAAGTTTTAGTATGCTGTGTTTCCCTTTTTATTTATCTCAGTATATTTTTAAATTTCCCTTTTGATTTCTTCTTTGACCCATTGGTTTTCAGAAGTGTTTTGTCTAATTTCCATGTATTTGTGAATTTTTCAGCTTTTCTCCTGTTATTAATTTTTAATTTTATACCATTGTGGTTAAAAAAGATACTTGATATGATTTCAATCTTTGTAAATTTGTTAAGGCTTGTTTTGTGACCTAACATATGATCTATCCTGGAGAATATTTCTTGTGCATTTGAGAAGAATGTATATTCTGCTGCTATTGGATGAAATATTGTGTGTGCGTCTGTTAGGTCCATTTGATCTAAAGCATGGGTCAAGTCCTTTATTTCCTTATGATTTTCTCTCTGGATGGTCTATTCATTGTTGAAAGTGGAATAATGAAGTCCTGTACTATTATCGCATTGCTCTCTATTTCTGCCTTCAGATCTGTTAGTATTTGCTTAATGTATTTTATTTAAAACATTTTAGATAAAAATATTAAATATATCTGATGTTGGATATATATATATATTTATAATTGTTCTATCTTCTTGATGAATTGACCTCTTTATCATTATATAATGACCCTCTTTGTCTCTTGTTATCTTTTTTGACTTAGAGTGTATTTTGTCTGATGTAAGTATAGCTACCCCTACTCTCTTTTGATTTCCATTTGCATGGAATTTCTTTTTACATCTCTTCAGTTTGAACGTATATGTGTCCTTAAAACTGAAGTGAGTCCCTTGTAGGTAGCATGTAGTTAGTCTTATTTTTTATTCATTCAGCGACCTTGTCTTTTGACTGGAGAATTTAATGCATTTACACTTAAAGTAATTATTGATAGATAAGGACTTACTGTAGCCATCTTATTAATTTTTTTGTGGCTGCTTTGTAGTTCCTTTGTTTCTTCTTATCTTGCTGTCTTCCTTTGTGATATGATGATTTTCCATAGTGGTGTCCTTTGCATCCTGTCTGTTTATCTTTTGTGTATCTACTGTAGGTTTTTGCTTTGTGGTTACCATGAGGGTAACATAAAACGTCTTATAGTTATAACAGTCTATTTTAAGCTTATAACCACTTAACTTCAGTCACATAAAAAATTCAACGTTTTTACTCCCTCCCCCAACACGTTTTATGTTTTTATTTAACAGTTTTCATGTTTTTATATTGTATATTAATTAAGAAATTATTGTATCTATAGTTCTTTTTAATACTTTTGTCTTCTAATGTTTATACTAGAGTTAACGGATTTATACACCACCATTACATTATAGAGTATTCTGAATTTGACTATATACTTACCTTTACCAATGAGTTTTATATTTTCATGTTTCCAAGTTACTAATTAGTGTCCTTGCATTTCAGCTTGAAGAGCTCCCTTTAGTATTTCTTGTAAGGCAGGTCTAATGGTAATAAACTCCCTCAGCTTTTGTTTGTGTATGAAATTCTTTATCTATGAAAATTCTGTGTATGAAATTCTTTATTCCTGAGGACTGCTTGGCAGGTTTTTTCTTTTTCTTTCCATGCTTTGATTGTATCATCTCATTGTCTCCTGTCTTGCAAGGTGTCTGCTGGAAAATTCGCTGATAGACTTATGCGGCTTCCCTTGTATGGGAGGAATTTTTTTCTCAGGGGAGTTTTATCAGTATCTACAGACTGAGTAATGTATAAATGAAAATAGAAACTGACATGATATGTTTCCTCCCAGTGCCGTCCCTCTGGCCAACTTATTATCCACTTGCTGAAGCATCTATCTACTCTTGAGGCTCCACCCCATGGAAATTTGTTTTAATAACACATTCAAGTTGTGTATGTTGGAGTAGCTTGTCTCTGAAGAAAAAAAGCTGAAATTCCATTGGCGGTTAGGAAAGCCCTTTCTGACACCCTGAGTGAAAAACTCTGGTTGTTTTCTTTGTCCTGATATTGGCCTTGAATAGTATAATATCTTCTACCAGTCCTGGTCATTAGATGTTTGGGCTACTGAGTGTCCTCATTTCTGCCTTTGATAGCCAGCAATTCTTTAGTATTATTTAGTCCCATAAGTAGACATTAAGCTCTGTGTGTCAGCTCCTGAAAACAAGGTTCTAAACATAGCCATTGTCTTCAAGGATTTCGCTATCCAAAAGGAAAAACAGGCGTAAAGTGAACTAAAAAGTAATGTGTAAGTGTTATAAGAATGGTGTGATCACAGAGCAGGTATCATCTGGTCATTGAGGGGTGTGTGCTTATGTTTCTAGCATCCTAGATGTTAGAAAGTTTTACCACTCTTAAAACGTTTGTGCTGGGGTTCATGGTTGATACTGTTTTATAAGCTGTCTGTGTTGTGTTAACTGTGTTTAGTTAATGTTTTCAGGGAGAGACATTATTTCACCTTCATTTTATCCCAGACAACACATTAATGAGGTATTTTGTCAAGAGTAGCAGCAGTATCATTTGAGGGTTTGTTAGGTGCAGGCTGCTGAGCTGTGTGTTGAGGGCTGCAGAGTCATAAAGCACGGTTCCTCCTTTGAAAGGTACGGTCTTCTCAGGGAAGAAACATTTAGAGGACAAATACAACACGGCAGCAACTTAAATTTCTGCAGGACACTCTAGTTTTTAATGCGCCTTCACATTTACTCTTTATGATAACCCTGTAAGGCAGGTTACTGTAAAAATTTACTTTGTGGATAACATTAGTGGCTTCCCATAATTGCACTAGTGTGGCAGAGACAGCCCTCAAAGCCACCTGACTTTAATCTACAGCACCTCCTGCCTCAACATAGTTGAACTGAGTAGTTCATGTGGAAGTCAGAGAACAAGGCCTCAGGAGCCCCGTCCAGACACCAAGGAGTATATCAGGATCTGGTGTGCAGGGAAGCAGTGGGATCTGGGCTGGGCCAAGACCAGATGCTGAGCAAAGAGCAGAAAACCAGAAGTCTGAGTTGAGAAAAGCCCAAGAAGCAGAATCTGAAGGGAAATCTGAGGGGAGAGCTGTTAGGGATTTTGTGAGGAGACAAGGCAGGACACCTGGGAATTTGTGAGGGCAGCTTTCAGCCCAGCCCGATTGCAAAGTCCCTTTAGAAGGCTGAGTCCCTTCCCTGCTGGTCTTCAAGGCACATAGCATTCTGAACCTAAGTTTTAACAGGAATAGTAAGGTGTAAGGAGGTTTATTTGTACTTTTCATGGATTACACAGTCACATGTTCATGTAAGGCTGGGCCTATTTCATATATTTTATTTCCAAGATGTGTATTTTAGAAACTCACTTTTTGAACTGCACATGTTGATGAAATGTTTTGTATCTGCTACATTTCCACGTGCTGCTAGTTGTTACGCTGTTGGACAGAATGGTAAACATGGTTTCTTTTTTTAAAAAAATATTTTTAAAGTAATACATGGATATGTAAAAAATATTCAAAGTGTTCAGAAAGTAAAAAATGAAAAGTAAAAGTATCTTCCCCTGCCTTCCTCTCAACCTCTGTCTCTTTCGCCAATGGCATCCACTATTAAAACTTTCTTTTGTCTCCTTTCAGGAAAAGAAAAATGTGTCCATCAAAATTTTATATGTATATGCTTTTTATAAATTACAAAAGTTGACTATACTAGTTATGCTACTTTACATCATTTTTTTAAATTAAAACTCTCTCTTGGATATCTTGAAGCAACAATACATTTAGCTCTAACTCCCTGTTTAAAAGGTTGCCTGGGGGGGCCATCCCCATGGCTTAGCGGTTAAGTGCATGAGCTCCACTACTGGTGGCCCGTGTTCGGATCCCGGACGCGCACCGACGCACTGCTTGTCTGGCCATGCTGAGACGGTGTCCCACATACAGCAACTAGAAGGGTGTGCAACTATGACATACAACTATCTACCGGGGCTTTGGGGAGGAAAAGGGAAAAAAGGAGGAGGATTGGCAATAGATGTTAGCTCAGGGCTGGTCATCCTCGGCAAAAAGAGGAGGACTGGCATGGATGTTAGCTCATGGCTCATCTTCCTCACAAAAAAAAAAAAAAAAAGAAAAAAGGTTGCCTACCGTTCCCTTGTTTGGAAATGGAATTTATCAGTTACCTATCTAGGCTTTTACATTGTTTACAATTTTTTTGCTATTCAAACAGTGCTGTGGTATATAGAGCCATTGTTTTATATGTTTGTAGGGAAGATTCCTAGCAGTGCAATCGCTGGATCAAAGGATAAGAATATCACCTCTTCAAGAGGACTCCTGAATGGTCCTCCATGACAAGTGCTGTTTCTAACTGAGGAGGGAGTAGGGAATCTGACGTGAGGGTAGGACAGAAACAATAAAGACTGGAAGGAAAGGGAACCAGAGATAAAATAAAGGTAAAGGAACTCTGGCTGTGAGACAAGATGGTAAATATTTGTATCAAAAGTCTTGAAGGTGGCCTTTAAGTTTAATCAGTACCGTTCCTCCTGGGAATATTTAAGAGGAAGGTTTTAAATGTCAGTGTATTTTATTGCACAATAAAAGTGTATATATATGTTTATAACTGCTATTGTGTTTAGTTTTATTATAAAGATATTACATATTTATTATATATAGTTTGGAAAATGCAAGAAAGTGTAATGGAGAAAACAGATTTCACCCATACTCAGAGAAGACCAATATTACTATTTTAATCTCTTATTTCTGTATATGCATTAGTTTTTACGTAGTTGAGATCATATTGTATATACATGTATTTATATGTAAACTTTGCTTACCGTCTTGATCTTGTTGATTTTATTTTCTTTCATTATTCTTTGCCTGCTTTCTTTTTTCAGGTAATAGAAACCTAACATTGTTTTGGAATGAATTTGGATGCCAGAATAACAAGGACATGGAGAAATCTTTAGATTCTATTCAGTATCAAAGAAGACAAGCCATGGCCATCCCATTCATCATTCAGTGTGGTGAGTGTTGAATTCCATTGTAATGAGCAAACGTTTAGTGAGTTCCTAACATGCAAGTCATTGTGTTAAAAAATGGGGCATGAGGGAGACAAAGCTGGGTAAGACAGTTCTCTTTTTTTATTTTTTGTGAGGAAGACTAGCCCTGAGCTAACATCCGTTGCCAATCCTCCTCTTTTTGCTGAGGAAGATTGGCCCTGGGCTAATATCCATACCCATCTTCCTCTACTTTATATGGGACGCCACCACAGCATGGCTTGACAAATGGTGTGTCAGTCGGTGCCTGGGATCCGAACCTGTGAAACCTGGGCCGCTGAAGCGGGGCACGTGAACTTAACTGCTAGGCCACCGGGCCGGCTCCCCAGAGTTCTCGCTTTCAAAGAGGTTAGAGTCTAGGAGAGTGGTTAAGATAAGTGTGAAAATAATTGCAATAGAGGTGAACATAAGGTAAATGATGTAAAAGAGGCATAAAGTTCTTTGAGGGTGAGCAAAGAAAGGGAGGAGGAGGAAGTTGAGGCAAGGCCTCGTGACAGAGGTAGCCTTTGCCATAGTCATTTTTTTAAAATAGGATTTTTGTAGAGATGCAGCAGGAGTTGTGTGTTATCAAGTGTACACTTCAGCTAGAATTTCTGTGGTAGATTAATAGAAACTGTCATTTTTCTACTTTTAATACCTAGCACTTTGTTAAATGTGTAGTAGGTACTTAGTAATTGACTACTGAATGAATGAGTGATGAATACATAATGAAAGACAAAAATATTAGGTTAAGTAAACATGTTAGAGGGCCTTGAATGCCAGGATAAGGAGTTTTTACCGTGATAAGCAGTGGAGAGGCAGTGTGAGTTTTTCAGTAGGAGAATAACGTCTTTGAAGCACTGAGCACTTACCGTGTGCCTCGGATACATCTTCTAGCCCCTGTGTAAAGGGTTAGAGAATGAAAGACACTCTACCATCTGCAAGGAATCTGCCATCCAGTGAAGAAGGCAGACAAGCAGAAAAGCACACGGTGGTGTGTCAAATGCGGCAGTTATTTACACAGTGCCAGGGGAACACCTCCCGGACATTGGGCCTGGGGTCGTCCAAAGAGGACCTGCCTGGGCAGGTGTAACTCGTAGTAAGGTTGCTCTGGCAGCTCAGTGAAGGCTGATCTAGAGGAGGGCTAGAGCAGAGACTGGTGGCATAATCCAGGATCAGGTGAGAAATTGTAAATGTCTGAGTGAAGCCGTGGCAGTGAGATTTAAGAGAAACATACATGACAGGTATTTAGAAGGTAAAATTGAGAAAATTGATGGCTGTATGCAGCAACTTATTGGATGAAAATAATAATGACTAAAAATTACTGTGTGTTTTTGATGTGTGCAAGGTACTGTCAGAATCCAATCTCCGGTACCTGAGAGCTGTATGAAATTGGGCAAATTCCTTAACTTCTCTAAGCCTCAGTTTCCTTATTTATAAAATGAGGTTAGTATTTGTAGCCACATCATACAGTTTTGTGAAAATGAAATGAATTAACATACTTAAAGTTTGCTAAGTGCTTAGGATAGTGTATTAGGGTTCTCCAGAGAAACAGAACCAGTAGGATAGATAGATAGATGTTTATTTATTTATTATAGGGAATTGGCTCACATGATTATGGAGGTAACAAGTCCCAAGAGCTTCAGTCAGCAAGCTAGAGACCCAGGAGAGCCAATGATCAATTCCAGTTTGAGTCTGAAGACCTGAGAACCAGGAGACCCACTGATATAGTTTCAACGTGAATGTTGACAGGCTCCATGTGCAGGAAGAGCCAATGTTTTAGTTTGACTCTGAAGGCAGGAAAATACTGATGTCCCAGCTCAAGACAGTCAGGAAGGAGAAGTTCCTTTTTACTTGCAAGAGGCTAAGCCTTTTTGTCCTAGTCAGGCCTTCAACTGATGGGATGAGGCCCACCCACATTGGGGAGGGCAGTCTGCTTTACTAAGTCTACTGATTCAAATGTTAATCTCAGGGGCCGGCCTGGTGGCGTAGCAGTTAAGTTCATGCACTCCACTTCAGTGCCCCAGGGTTCACCACTTTGGATCTTGGGCGAGGACCTACTCACCGCTCATCAAGCCGTGCTGAGGCAGTGTCCCACATACCGCAACTAGAAGGTTGTGCAACTATGACATACAACTATCTACTGGGGCTTTGGGGAGAAAAAAGGGAAAAAGGATGAAGTTAGGCAACAGATGTTAGCTCAGGGCCAATCCTCAAAAAAAAAAGACTCTCTCATTAAAAAAAAAAAAGCTGTCAATTTAAAAAACAAATGTTGATCTCATCCAGAACACCTTCACAGACACACTCAGAATAATGTTTGACCAAATATGTGGGCACCTCATGGCCCAGTCAAATTGACATATAAAATTACCATCACAGATAATGTCTAGCAGTGTTGGTTTTTATCATTATTATTATGTCATTTAATTCTCAATAACTCTTTGAGGTAAGTACTAACATGAATCTCTTTTTACAGATGATGATACTGAATCATAAAGAAGTAATTTGTCCAAGATCATGGAGTAGTAAGTGGTGGAGCAGTCGAGGTTCTTAACCACTGTGCAAACTGCCTCTGTCTTAGATGAACAGAGAGAAGTGTTTACTTAAGAGCCATTAGAGTGTGTCTGGAGGGAATCCAGGATTAAAGTTGAGAATAGCCTGCAGAGAGTACAGTGCCTTGGCCCTAGAGCCAGGGAGGCACTGAAAGGGAGAAATGGACAAAGAAGTCAGCAACTGTAGACTGTAGAGTGGGATAAGAGGAGGGGAAAAGTGAAGAACAAGGAACTGTGTTCAGAGAGCTTGGTTTTCCTTGTTATGTTAGCCATGTGGTTGGAGATGGAAAGCCCTGTTGTCAGCAGATAGATAACAGGTCAGAGAAAATGGAAGTCAAGTCACTGGAAGTCTCCATGTGGTTTAAGAAGAGGTAGAGAGGGACGACCTATTACTGAAGATTTTTTTGGCAGAAAGTAGCAGAAACCAACTGGAAAGAACTTAAGCAATAATAATAATAATGATAACAATAACAAAAATACTAATAATTTATTGGTGGTGTCCTGGGGGAGCTCATAGAATTCTAGACTATTTGTGCCATCAAATATGATGGTATGTGATCAAGAATTCGCTTGTCTTTGAATCGAAAGCTCCTCCTTTTGGAACATGCAACCTGACATCTTACTGTGATACACTCACATCTTAATGTGGCCTCTCTTGTGTGTGATTTTGTTTTGATTATCAGATCTTTGCCTTAAATGGAGAGTCTTGCCTTCCTCTACAAATTATCAGGAAAAAGAATTTTTTGACATCTGGATTTGCGCTAATAATCCTAACCTCTTGGAAAACAGGTAGTTTTTGATAGTTTTCTAAAATTCTTTATCTATTTTCAATTCCTAAATTACGTATGTAAGAAACTGGAGAATGTCAATTTTAGCTTAGTAGCTATCATCCCTTCAAACTTTTTCTGGCCCCTTGCCACCTATGGAAAGATATTTCGTTAGTGTGCTTTTTCATCAAGATAAAAGAGAACTGGATGTAATTGTTGGCAAACGTTGTGGTGTGCAGGAGACCATGACCCGGTGTTTAGGAGTTCTGCCTTCCAGTTCATTTTCACACAGTATGCGACCTTATCATACAGGAGTCTAATCCAGAGGGTCTCCAGGGGCACTAAACTGTTAGACCATGTGCTTTTTCTATTTAAGGCATATATTGATTTCATTGCTTGTGCTCTTGGAGGAAGAAGTTCAGACTAAAACAGAAAAAAGACTGATTAAATATTGATGAATGTCAGTGTTATTACAAGCCCTTTTAGACTTACATTCTTTTCCTTGGTGGGGAGAGAGTTAGTACTCCCCTTTAGCAAAGGCACCTCTAAGTCAGGCAGTGCTTTCCACAGAGTTTTTTCTAAGTCCTTTGGCCTGGATAAGTGGATCAATATTGCTAATACAGACATTAGGGTAATAATTCCTATTTGCTTATTTTTATCCAGCCTTGAAAAAAGAAAAGAGCAAATAAAAAAAAATAAAAAAGAAGAAAACATTCAGAAACTGCTACTAAAACCCCTTCCACCCGGAGTCCCCAGGTTAATCATATTTGGAGACTAAGGAAAAATGTCAGTGGTGACAAGGGCCCTTAGATTTCACATGGCCCAGTGGTTTTACAGTCTCCCCTTCTTGGTTTGTGGAGCCAGTTTTGTATTTTTTCCAAATAAAATTTGTCTCAGACCCCAAATATATAAAATAGATAAATACAGAACTGTCCTGATTGAATTGGAGGCTGGGAATCTGGGGGCCAAAGGTATCCACTTCTCATTGCTGTTCCCGACTCTGCAGAAAGCCTGGAGCTCCAGGGAGCGTGACTACAAGCATGAATCTAGTCTCACTTCTTCCTTTTAGAGAAGTGAAAACTGAAGCCCAAATGGGGCTAAGAAACCTGTTCCTGACGCCGCTGGCCAAGGTCTTCTGATGCCTAACCTGACTTGGAACTGAAATATCTCTCAAATAGGAACAAAGTGTTGGCTCAGTTTCTATATGAAGAATAGTCTGATATGTAGTGTCATTGTCATTGTCATTATTTTCACCCAAGTGCTGTTTAACAGAAGTTTGTTGTTGTCGTTTTTTCAATTTCTGTGTGGAAAGGCTTGTGCTTGGAAATGTAAATAAAATTGGTCCAAGTCCTCATCCCTCAACAACAAAAAAAGAATAGTTAATGCTATTGATCACTTACTGTGAGCTAAGAACTTTTCATACAGAGTAGGGTAGCGTTTAGAGTTCAGACCGTGGGCCCAGACTGCCTGGGTTTGACTCCTGACTTCATCAGCCATGAAACCATGGACAAACGGTATAACCTCTCTTTAACTCAGCTTCCCATCACTTAGAATGAAGTGTAATAATAGTACCTTTGGCATCTTTTCTGGGTCCAGCTGAGCCCCTTGTAAGGACAATCTGCCAAGTGCTTGATCACTAGGGACCTCTTGATAACAAGCCAGGAGAATTTAGGCCCCTCCCCACAGATCTAACCATATACCTATGACTTCTTAGACCAGTCTTAGGAATTGTTGGACCCACAGAACTGGAAATCTGTCCTCTATAGCTTCCTTTGTCTCTGGCTCACCACTGCCCTTGAACTGGCACACTCTCACCCTCTTCTCCTTGAACGGTGGTGACGCCATCACAGAGCCTTGTAAAATTAGTTTCAAAGCTGCATTAATTCTGTCTCTTTTACACAGCAAAACACTTGTGACGACAGGCAAGATAAATTTAGCCATGTTGACAGAAAATTGATGGACCTGAAAAGCCTAAAATGCAAAAAAAATCTTCTTATATTTATAATTTCTTAAGTCTTTGATTCTTTAAATATACTGACGTAATTTTGACCATCTGTATTTCATTTCCACTGAGAAGATTAGGACAAAAAAATTTGCTTAGAGTGACAGCAAGAATATTTAGGGGAGATGTAAAGAAAAACTCCTGATTACTGGGGCACTTACTTAAGAGTTGACACTTCCTTTGTGGGAGATCTTTAACAGGGATGTAGATAGGAAGATTACCCAGGGAAGAGAAATTGATCTGATGACCTCGCTCAGTCCTCTGATTCAGTGTAGTAGGATGGGCTGTGCATACTTTGAGAATATGCCATGAAATAGCAAAACCCTGATATAGATGTGCCATTGGATTTGGATAGAATCACATAAAATAAGTGTATCTAAGTGATGACAAGTGAAGTATAGTTATTTATTAGGCAACATTCCATGAGAGGAAGAACAGAGTAATGGGGTGGAAAGTGGCATTGTCTATATTTACAGAAAATGTAGTTTATTGTCAGCAGTTAATTGCCAATTGTCAGCGGGGTTAATGCCAATGAACAGCATTTGAATAAACAATGTCTGTATAACCAGAACTTGGGCAGGAAACATAATAATAGCTCTCTCTTACATAGCAATTACATATGTAATCTCAGTTCATCTTTCTAATAACCGTATGAGCTTTCTCCATTTCTCAGAGGAGAAAACAGTGAGGCTAAGAGAGTTCCAATGACTTGTCCAGGATTCCTCCCTACAGCGGAAACTTGAAGCCAAGCATTTTGATGCAAAACCTGTACTCTTTCTGCCTTACCACACCGATCTCTGAAGGCGTCCTTTTACATTTCATGAAGCCTAATTCCAGTCAAATACTTTGTGGAGACAAAATACACCATTTTACAATTGGTAGTGTTCGCTGGTGACCCAGGCAGGGTAAAATGGAGCCATTCTTTTCCAGACCACTGAAGCTTCCTTTTGTTTTCTAGTTTGAGCACAGAGGGAGGCTATACATTTTTGTCACAGTACCCAAGAAATAGATAGAGGAACTCTTCCACTACACTCATGCTATGCATATGTCTGCATTGAAAATAGGGATCACCAGCAGGGTAAAAGTGATACATATCATTTGACTGAACCAAAAAGTCTGACTTTTGAAAAGGATGTTAAAAAATATCTATGGGTTGTATTGCCTATTAAAATTTAATTTGTTTCCAAAAATCTTGAAGACAATCAAATGGATTGCTTTTAATAAACTACTTGAGGTTTCTCTTTCCCGAATAAAAACTTGAAGCTGCCGCAAGGTTCTCTTCTCCCGTGAAATATAAACCTGGATAGGCACCGCCCCACAGAGGTCTTCGAATGAACGCTGCAGGTGGCTGTGTATCTAGTAGGTGTCCCCTGATTTATCTGCCACCTTTTTTTGAAAATAACAATAACAACAAATACCATATGTGGGTGGAATTAAGTGTTTTTTTCACAGTAGTAGTTGAATTTGATTGTAGTTCTTCACTCTTCTCTGTCCGTAGTGGCAGGAAAAATACATGCTGCGGCACTGAAAAACAGAGACATTGTGGGTTTGATCTACTTCACGTTTCCTGCACTGTTTCAGTTGGGAGAAGGCCCTCTGTCTATCTGTTCTCAGCCTCCTGCTCCCTCTCCTAGCCTAACACATGTCTATTTTATACAAAATTTGTCCCTTCCCCCCCTTTTTTGGTACTTATCAATTATAGAAAAACTTTTGTGTAAAGCAGCCTCTGAGAATTGATCTTCACTTTTTGCCCCACTCTTGCATGTCCCCAGCCATGAATCAAAGCCATGCCTACTGAGGGTTAACTTCTTATCCTTGCCGAGGTGAACAACGTAATGTCTTAGATTTTCAACACTTTGGTTAATTCAGCTCCCCAGAGCATAGCCACAAAACCAAAAGTTAGAAAAAAAAAAAAGGCCTCAAACCTTCCAAACCATATGTCTCAGAAGTCATTAGTATTTTTTGTAACCATAATGAGGGAAGCCCTCATCCACAGGCTGTTTATTGTCATTTGCATACAATTTTACTTGATTATATAATACATGTATTAACCCACATGTGATTAGAAACAGCAAGTCAGTAAGCTTGGGAAGCAGAGGGACCACCAGAAGCAGATACATTGAGAGCATCCAGGAGAGAAGCATGTTGCAGGCGGGGTCATCGGGGGCTATTTGATGAAGGGCACCACTACTCGGCTCCGTAACCCCTGAGACTATCACTGAGAACTGCATCACGTCACAGTGATCCTGAGTCCTCGAACAAAGGGTCCGCGTGTTTCAGAAGCAGGATTATTCCGTGTATCTTAGAAAGATGCATCGATTTCTATCCCAAATGTTTTGGGAAAAAAAATGTTTGGCAGTAATAAGTTTCAATTATCTAAAAAACATGTATGCAAAAGGCCTCATTTTATGATAATGCAGGATAAATGAAGCATGAGTAAATAATGAATATTCTCCCATTCTTGTAAATATATAGCACCCTCCACATTTGCCATTAAGCTCGTTTTTTTCCCATTAAGCTCTTTTCCATGCAAATTGAAATTTAAGGTCATGTTACCTAAAGTCATCAATACAGTGCTCTTCCTTTGTAGAAGACATAAAAAGTAACTCCTTGTAGAAGTAAATCATGTTTTACAGACAGTAAATAGTTTTATATTTTCTCCTGATGTTATCTCTTGTACTTGTTGATTGTGAAGCTGTCATCAGACAGAACGTCTACCTTCCATCCCCTTGGGCACGATGAGCACAGTATCACCATCAAAAAGTGAGAAAGAGAAGCAACTTCGAGAGTCGATCCAAAGGTATCAGAATCGACTGGCAGAACAGCAGCCCCGGGTGAGCTGTTCTTAATTCTTTCCAAATCTCCCTGACTCTTGAGCTATTGGTTTCATGTGTGCAAACTGACTAGTGTGGTTTACCCAAGTAAAATGTGTAGCCTGTTTTTTCCTTCCTTTTTGTCACCTCCTTTTAATTTTGGATCTAAGGACTATTCTAAAAGTGAACACAAGTACTTTAGGGCTCCAGAGAAGGGAGGAGAGTTCTTCAGAAAATAGCATATGTGTGATATCTAAGTCCACCTACACAACGGTGCATGTGATGAATAGGGGAGTTTATTCCCACTCTGCAGACGCACATAGAGCCTCATAGAGGTCAGCAGGTGTGTCCAAGATCAGTGGTCAAGACTGGGACACAAGTCTGTAGGACCCCAAGGGCTCTCTTTCATTAGGCTTCTTCCCTGAGGGTGGATTTTTGAGGTAATGAGTTGTTCTTTTAAAAAATATTAGCCTTTTTTTCTTAAAAGAAGTATATCTGTGTTAGAAGTAGTCTTTCCGTCTTGATTGTGCTAATAGTTACAGAAATCTATTTGTCAAAAATCATTGAACTCTATACTTAAAAAATGGATTTTGTAGTGTATGTATATTTTACCTCAATAAACATGACTTTTTTTAAATGCCAAAAAGATTAGCCTATTAGTACAGAAACTCTAAGTCATATTTAATTGTTAAGAAAATTTAAATAAAGCATTACTGTCAGTAAATGTAGGTAACCATGACAATTTCAAATGAAAGAAAAAGTGGCATGCAGAAATATTGTTTTACTCTCTTAACTCATGAAGTAGTTAGATCTCAGTTTACTTTATAGACTTAGCACCCAAATTCAGCATTTTATAGTTGTGCAGCCTGTCAGCTTCCTCACATAGAACATGAAGAGGTCAGCAGCATATGTCCAAATGTGTTGACTTTTCTGTAGGTGTCTGGAAATAATAATGCTCATTCGAATAGAAAATTCCCTTATGGAGCAGGAGTTAAGACACCCAGGCTTAACACCTTATTATGATGTGTATTCTTGGGTTCTTAGAAGATAAACTTTCTTTTCTACTCCAACTTCACCTTCTTACCTCCCCCACTTTGTTGGTGATCTGCCATGCAAGTCAGCCACCGCCTGGGATCACAACCAAAGACACCTGACACTCCCTGTCAGCCTGGAGTCTCAGGGTTTCTTTGGGGAAGACACTGAGTCACTTTGGAACACATTCTCCTCAGCATCCCCATCCGATAAAAGCAGCTCAACTTCCTACAATTCTTACAGCCTCTAGACGTGGGTTTGATAACAGAGGTCAGAAGTAAAGGTATCGCAGCCTGTGGTTATTTTAATAAACAATGAGGTAAAGTCAAAGCTTTCCAATGTGGAATATTTTAATTTGTTTTGTTTATTCTTTTGTTTACCACTCCTTGTAGCTTTGTGAAGGCATTCAGCACATCCTGGACTGATTTTATCTTTATGGCAATCTCTGGATACATTATTCCCCATAGACGTCAGGGCTGCCCCTTGGATAGTGATAGTGCCAATCACAAAGTCTTAATTACCTTTGTGTTTGCTTGGGATTGGATGTTTTATTCATCACTGAGGTAGAGATTTTAATGGTAGCTGATGGAGTAACAGATTTGGGTCATCCGTTCTGCTTACTCTTTCTTTCTTGGTAGTTGACTTTTTCATAAAAATTTGGGCCAGGTTTATAAATTAGTCTGTTTCAAATATAAGCAAAGAAGTTGAGCAGTCCTTAAGTAGAAACCTACTCCCACCAGTTCAAAGGACATAAGACTCCTTACCATCCTCCCCTGCCCTCTTTTGTGAAAATAATCCAAACATCTTTAACACACTTCCAGCGCTCAGTGCCCTTAACTGACCCTGTTTTTGTGGTAGTCAAGGACAAGTTTGGTTAGGGTTCACCCAACCATGGGCAACCAGTTAATTTTGAGGTGGTCACTAAGCACACACTTGCCCTTGGGTCTGTCGCATGCTAGGCATTGTGAGGAATACAGAGTAAGTCTAATACCAGAATGTAAGCTCCATGAGTGCAAGGATAGTCTTGGCTCTGTCTGCTGTGAATCTGCATTACGTGAAACCGTGCCTGCCATATAGTACATACTCAATAGATGGTTGTGGAATCAATCAATAAAACATGCCCTCAGGTAATATGCAGTCCCTTTGTGGACCAAGTCTAATAGCTATTTAAAAATTAGCAACTACTCTAAGACAATACTAGTACAATACTTGTCTCATCATAACTAAAGCTACAATAGAAATTTATTACAAGGAGATATTGAGGGCAGCTTCAGTCAAAAAAGTTTCATAGAGGAAGTGGCACTTAACTTGTATCTTGAAGTCCATCTGGGGTAAACAGAGGGAAAAAACAGAGTATTCCAGGTGAGAAGCACATTATAAACGAAGACTTGGGGATGAGCACAGGCTTGTTCCTTCCTGGAACCCATCTTCTAAATCACATGTTAAACTTAACGTGTTTTTAAAAATAAACAGCGTTTGTATGACATATCTGTCATTTAAAAATTGTGTAACTCATTAATATGGTAATTAATGAATAGAAGACCTCTGAAAGGTGACTTCAACTCCCTTTCACAAAAATAATCCATGAAAGTATTCAAAAACTATTTTGGTGATAGCTGCCTAATGCCAGAAACAAGACTTAAAACCATCCAACGTTCAGTGTGAATTGACTCTCTTCCTGACTGCCTTTTAGAAAAAGCACTCTTTGAATACGACACAAAGCCAGAAAAACAGGGCATTGCTGCCATTCAGGTTCAGTGCCGATGGGATTCAGGTGTAGGGTAGACACCATGGGAAAATCAAGAACCGACTAGTGCGTCACCATCATTCACTGTGTCTGTTGGTGGTGCCCATTCTCTCAGTATCAGGAAATAATAAGACACATGCCAAGTCCTTGTGGTTTGTCCACTCTCTGTTCTCTCTTCCTGCCTCCCATTACCAATGCCCACCCACCCACTGACCAGACCTGGGGAGCAGATATAACAGTGACCTAAACCTGCACACCCCATTTCTTACTCTCTTGCATTTCAGCTTAATGGCAGAAGGCATCCTCAGCTGGAGAATGAAGAGCTGACTAGGTAAAGCAAAGACCTTTCTGGATCTTATATTCTGTGATCCTGGGTTTTCTGTCACTGACAACCAAGAGAGAGAATACCCATAGGAAGGTAGTATGGTACCAGTATCAGAAATCAGCAGCTACAGCCTCTCCACCCCTGGTACACCCTGCGGGTGTGTAGAATGACAAAGTCTAACTTTTGGGAGCACCACCCAGGATGCCGTCGTCAGAGAATGCTCCCAGTGAGTCAGAAAACTCTTCTGGTGGAAGAGGCATGGCAACGAGCAGATCTGGTCCTCTAGGAGAGAATGAAGTGGCTAGGTCCAAGCTGGCTTTTCCACAGATGGTATCTTATTTAATCCCCACAATGTTCCAGCAGTTCTATCAATTATAACAACAGAGGGAAGTGAAGATCAAAGAACTTGAATAACTTGAATCAAGTCACACATCTTTAAATGGTGATATTGGAATTTGTTTCCTTTTTGCCTAATTCCAGCACCCAGCTGTTCACAGTCTCATAGGATAAATACAGACAGAAAGAACATGAGAACATTTGCAAAGGCAACAAACTGATATATTGCAAATCCTTTTTGTTAAGGGAAATACATAAGTTCAGTAAACCTATTGGGACAGCACAAATTCAAGATGAAACTGATAAGCTGTGTCAGCAAGCCAAGACTCCGTTTATAAATCGTGCTTCTGAAACAGCCCATTCCCCTCTTTCTCCTTTCTAAAGAAATGAATGAGTAATCGGTTCCTAACCCTGTTTCCAGCTCATTCCTCATTACCTGCTGTTTTCTATTCCGAGTGACAGGTGCCACCTGCTGGCCAAACGATGAAGCATTTTCATTTTCGTTGTGTCTCTCTTGATTGCTCAGCTACTAATTGTGTATTACCTGGATAATTGCTACTCTGTGTTTCAGTAAACCTAGACAATAATTTTAAAATCATAAATTAGAGTTGCAAAATCAACTCGTCTGCATTTGAGAACTTTCCAGTCCTCAATTTTGTCCCTGTCTCAGTTTTAACTCACAACTTAGATTCTCTTCTACTTTCTAGTGTATGGCAAGGAGGACTGTGTCATTATCATGCATGGGGAATACAGCTTTAGGTACATTTCATTCAGGGTTTTTTGGTACCACTTTAAATCCACTTGATGCCCTTGGTCATTACAAGACAGATGATAACTTGATTCCCTGAATGAAGCCTACTCTGTATTCACCCATTTGTACATTAGTGATGTTAATGGGTAGTATATTTATATAATCAATATGTTTGTGCAAATGTGCTGTATTGCTTCTGTATTCTCTAGGTCTTTGTGGGTTAATCTTTTCTGATTAATATTAATTTCTTATTCTACAGTCCAGGCTCTCTCTAATCTGACACTATTTCCTTTTCTGCATTAGTTTCTTCTCTTCTGCAGGATTCTCTCACTGAGCTGCCCACGTTCCTTATGTGTGCTCACCACTTCACACTGTTCTAAGAGCCTTCGCTGCTGCCATTTTGTCTAAAGTGGCCTCTTCCCCTTCCCTAGTCCTTCGGGATCCAACACTAATGTCATTCCTGTATGAAGTCGTTTCCCATTTCCCCACCTGTAAAAACATCTCCTTCCTTCCAGTTCCCTTTGACCTGGATGCCTGTCTTTCTTAGGACAAGTTTTACTTTCTACCTGGTATTACAGTTACTTGTGTATCTGATCTGTCTCCTATATTAGACCATAAGCTTTTTGAAAAAAGGGACCATTTTTATTCAACTTTGCATTCCCAACAACACCTAACCCTGCTCCTTTCCCATGATAGGTATTTACCAAACAATGAGTGAAGGATTGAAGCAATAATTTGATTTATGCAGAATTCTTCACAAATAGGTACAAAAATGAATATTTTTCTTTTGGTTGGATTGGTTGACTCTATATAGGTTAGACTTAAAATCT